GCTTTAACAGCCTTCTTAAGAAACACTATTTATTATTAAACAACATCTCTTGCTATTGGACTACTAGATTTCATGATCTACATTAGGGTATTACCTTTAAACAAGATATATTATAAACCAAACAAACAATCTAACTTTGAATTTATCAGATTTACACAAAGGATAATTTCATGAAAGTAAATGCAGTATTTAAAAAAATTTTTTTCTTTTAACCAGAGCCATTTTTGAGCCATCGTAATAGCCAGCACTGGGTCCAGTTGGCATCTAGAATGGAAGACCTCTAAGGAAATTCTAAGAGTCTTAAAGGAAGTAATATTGGTGATTCAAAACAGAACATTCTTCCAAACTCAGAAGAGCTGAGGGTTGAAGCACAGCACTATTAAAAGACTTATCTTTCCACTGTGCAGGTGTGGGAATGTTCAAGCTACATCTCAGCCCAAATTCTAAATAAAAACCTGTCATCTCATACTATTTAAATTTCTAGAGCAACTGAAAGAATATTTCTTCACTTCCTGTGTTTATAGTTTGGGACTCGGTCAAAACATTTTATATTCTACTCTAAGTGAATTAAGATCTAAGGCTGCATATGTCCTGCTATATATCCAGTGCTTTAGAAGGGCATTTAATAATCCTATTCTAATCCAGGCCTATGTTTCCTATGCAAAGATATTAGGAATCAATGTCACTTATATGTAAACCTAAATGCTGGGCTGTGTCTCTAATCGGATCTTGGCAAATCATTAAATCAATCTTTTGGCCAATAAACCAAGTATTTGAAACCTTCTCTGTGGTCACCAACAGGAATTACAAAGATTGGGTTTTGATTATCCTTAATATCCTGTTCAGTAACAATGCCAACACTATTATAGAAGTTTTTACAATCTAAATCCTTATTTACTATTTCATCAAATATGGCATCCCTCAGATTCCTGACCAAAAGGTTATTGCTGATGCTATATCCAAGGAAAGTTCTCTGGCTGAAAGTTACATTGATTGATTTGCAGGAGATTTGATTTGTGTGTGACCCATAGACACACAGTACCAGCGCATTGTCTGGGCTCATCAAATTTCCTCCTTTGCTTAATGCTACTGTCCCTGAGCACATCCATTCAGACCATATGGTTCTTATTCAATCCTTGAATGGCTTATTCAGGCAAACATCCAATGGCTGTAATAGCGATGTCAGACCCCCCAGGACTCACGCAAAGATCAGTTTTTAATTTTTTGGCCATCTTTCTTACTCCATCTGCTAAATGTGCATGGAACAGTTCCCATACTTACATGGAACATTTGTGGAACTGCGCCCCCGGGCAGGAATCCCATATCTTTTGCAGCCAGAGTTTGACGAGATCATCATGGATTCAATCCTTTGGATATGTCTATGCTATCACTCGAGCAATATTTCAACCCCCTCCTTTTTAAAAAAGATTTATTCAGAAAACTATGAGCAGCTTTGGTTTTATTCTGCTGGCTAGACAGGGTGTAGGTTCTTTCTTGTTACTTCTGATGAAAATAGTTTTGAAACTCAGACTTAAGATCAGAGGCTATGGATATGCCATTTATGTCTCTGAGACACACAAACTCCGGCTTATACTCTCTGCTGCCAATTAAGAAAGTCTGGCAAAGAACTTACTGTTTACCATCATCTAAGGTTGGCAAATAATGAAAAGCAGTGATGATACTTTCCTAACATATACATAGCACCTTCACTTGGAGGAAGCCCACACAAAGATTACTGAGATATTATCTCATTCTATCTTCACAATATCTCTATAAAATATGTGCAAATTTGTTTTCTCACATTTTAAACTGGAGATTCATTATTTTACCAATTTTTACAATCATATGTCTTAGCTCAGTGTTCTATCCATATAGGCTTCTTATTTCTGGGGTAAGAAACTGTTACAGGTAGAAAATGAAAATTCATGTAGTATTAAAGGGTAAAATACATTGTCACCACCTGTATCAGACTTAGTCACCCATTTTATTCCTGTGACAATGAAAAATTGCTTTTTTCTACATAATTTCTCATATAAAGATAAAGTAAAATCAGTGGCAGTACAGAAGATTTCAAACTCTGGAATCAGAAAGTCCTGGGCTGGAATCTCAGGAATGCCATTGAACTACTGTGTCATCTTGGGCTCTCAAGTCTTACTTTTCTCATTTGTAAAATGAAGTTAAAACAGTACCCACCTCATAGAATTTTTGCTAATATTAAACAGAAGATTGGTTGTAAAGCACCTAACAATGTGTACCTGGCACAATGTAAGTACTTTAAAAATATTCATTATCTTTGTCAACACCATCACTGGAATGTCAACTATTTTTAGATGGTAAGTATATAGACAAGCCAGACAAAGGTGAGCAGATCGATTGAAAATTCCACTTTAATTTTGTAGTCATTCTTTGTATGGCTGTTTTGCTTTCGGTCATAATTCTGAGTTCTGGTTTAATTTCCAAATGATATAGCCCTAAGGCAAAAAATCTGCATTTGGCAACAGTGAATATGCTTCTCTCTTAGGGGGAAAAAAGGAAATTAACAACAATAAAAATTCATACAGGAGATAACATGGTAAATAAGTTAGTAAAAGATAAAAAGTAAACTGAGAAGTGTTCTGCTCAAACGTCTAGTTCTTTACTTTTGTTTGTTGCTTTATTAAAAATGCAGATTGATTTAGTTTCCTGAAAGCTTCTTCATAATTTCAAAGTAAATGATAGGAATATTTGGAGGGCTATCTAGTGTTCTATCATTTTCCTTTCTGAGAGTCTGCATTTGTATTTGTTTTCTTTGTTCATTAACTTATTTTAAGACTTGTTAGTGCCATTCCTAGAACTATTCCTTGTCTCTTTAAGAATGACTAAGATTGGTTTGTAGATTAATTTTAGATGGTAATGGCCAATATGTTGACTTTATGACTCTTACATTGTGAATATAAATGACCCCTTGACATACAAATTTTGCTACAATTACAAGATTCTTAAGTAGATTCTTGTGGAGCCCATGGGTTCTTTGGAGGTATGTCAGGAGCTGGTAAGAGACCAGAGATGGTAAGGGGCAGGCAAGGGGCTCTTTAAACCAGAGCATTTCCATATATTAGAATTCTGTAGACTTCATTTGAAAAAGGGGTTTAAGGATCAAATAGTTGACAATTAACTTATATTAAGAATGCGAATATTTAGAAATCAAATATATTTCTGCCCATTTTATTCACTTTCTCTTGTTTATGATTATTCCTGTATATGCTTAGAAGTAATTATATTTCCCTCCTATTCGCTTATCTAAATTTAATACTGTTAGCTTTAATATTATTTGAGCATGTTTTCCAAGTATACCTCAAATTGCTTGTAATTTCCAAGGAATATGTCATCTCTTTCATATATACACAGCTATAAGGTATGGCATTTGAGAGCCCTGCTATTAAGCAACTGATATTAAATATGTGTTTACCATATAAATCATTAATGGAGTTGAGCTACATTTTTAGATAGCCACAACTTATGGTTTTCTTATTTGTAGCGATTACATAATTTGCACAACGTTTCTAGGAGCACTCTGAGGTCTTCAAAAGAATGAACTATTTTTCTTGGTTAAAAAATAAAGTAAAACCAAAGAGCTATCAGGCCTAGTGATACAGTATTATTATTTTAGGCAAATAGAAACTGTGGACTATGGACTAGACTACAAGAATAATAATCAATTAATGGCAAATAAGCAGATTTTCATTGTGACTTTCCTTCCTTATAGTTGTATATTTCTTCTAAGCACAGATTGAGGTAAATTACTACTTGTCTTTGACAAGAATTATTGGTGCCAAAATAAAAATAGATTGTTGTTTCCAGAATGCAGTTCCTAATATTTTCTATTACTTCAATGAAAAAAGAAAATAGAAGAAAATTTTGGTAGTGCGTGAATTTCTTTGTCTTTTTATTGGATATTTACAAAGTCTAAAAAAAAAGATCCTTAATCTTTTAAAAATGGCCTTATACATTTATGTGTTTAGCATAATTTACCAACATCTCAAACTCAGCATGGAAAAGCCATCAACATGGCACTAGGTCACGGGTCCTGAATGAAGCCATCAGCAAGGATTAATATACTGTGACATCTGCCCAAAAGCTTTCATTCTTTTTATTTAAACATCAGATTGTAAGCTGAAATTCAGTGTAATCCTTGTTCCAACTATCCTAGCTAACATGGGAGACATCAGAACAGATGACAGTAGTATTTCTTATTGCAAATTCAGTCCACAGAAATAAATTCTAGAATTTATATTTACATATATAGCAAATCCTAGAAAATTTCAGGAGTAATTTAACAAATTACCTATTTGAACACATCTTTTTATTTTTTCTTTTTTTACAGGCAGAGTCTCGCTTTGTTGCCCAGGCTGGACTCCAACTCCTGGGCTCAGGTAATCCTTTCACCCAAGCCTCCCAAATAACTGGGACTACAAGTGTGGGCCACTGGGCCTGGCAAGTTGAAGCAATTCTAATGATGACATTTAAATAAAACTAGATAGATGAAAATAAAATTATTTGGTTTAAATTCTATGTTCAATAAATTATTTAATTATTCTTCTACTATTCGACCCTTCTTTAATACTGCAATTTAAAAGTAACTTTAGACTGTAGTTTATACAGTCTATTTTTTGGTCACAGAATTTTCCTAGGAATTATTTACTGGAAAAAAAACTAGACTATTTCATGTGACTAAACAGAGTACATTATATGACTATAAGACTGCTGTTGCATTTTTTTGGTACAAATATAACATACATATAACAACAGAAAAATGAAACTGACCCAAAAGATAGTTTTACCAACTGTAATTTTCTAAACAACACATATTTGAAGATATCAAGATATGACAACCCACTGGACCAGGAATTTGTTAAAGTACATTTTAAATTAACATATAAGAGTTCCTAGTGATTAAAAATCAGTCCCAGTAATTTATCAGTTTGCTATAGATGTTAAACTAGTAAATCATTTGCGCTTACCCCCTTCTCAATATTCCCAGTTTGACATAGTGTCCCCTCAGCTGCTGGAATACTGTTGGTGACACAGCGGTTGCTTTTGCTGAGGCACCAGAGCTCTCTACACACTTCCTAGGAAAGAAGGCAAAAGCAAGTTGATCAGAGAGAGAGACTAAAATCGTGTCTAATTCTTCCATAAAATACACTGATAGCCACTCAGCATCACTTTGAAAAGAAACTCCAAATCTCTTGTTGCTGCTGAAGCATCAGAGGTAAGGATTTTGGAGGAGATTCTTATAGAAGGTGGGCTGTTCATTTTGCAGAATCATTTAAACATTTGTCTCTATAATTCTTATTTCAGTGGAGAAAATATATCCTAATTTTAATATTATTAGAATCTTTTTTATAACAGTATACAGAAATTTCATAAATATAGACGAGTAGGGAGAATGAACGTGTTAGAATGGAAATATATATTTATGACATTCAAGAATATACAATAGTACAAACATACGAACTATTAATAAAGTGATGCTAGGTAAATGACATCCTAGATCTACTGTAATATTCAAGTAAAGACAATTTTAAAATAGAAGAGACATGAAAATGGGTAGAAATTTAATATGTAAATTTAAAGAAATTTGAAGTATACTTTAGAGTAATGTCTAAAGTTCATATATGCCTGAGAACAATTTAGCAATGTTATTTTCAGTTCATCACTGTAGCCTACCTCCTTGAAAGAGAAACTTGGTTTTGAACAAATGCTGCCATTTTTGGCATGTTTTGGATGTTGTTTGGAATCGCCGTATCTCTTTCTACCTCAGCACAGGAGAATCACAATACTTATTCTAATATTGGCGATATATTAAGACTTCACTATGTTCACACTACGTTAATATGTCAGATTCTAAAATAAGCAATTCAATATTATCCCTAAGTGTTTAAACTAACAGCCTCCAAAAGCTTACTTTTGAAGAAAATACTCAAAATTTTCAGTTTCTTTTTATATATGATCACCAACTAGTATCATTACTGATGTTTCAACTTTTTTATTTAAACTAGAAATATTTAGTATAATATGTATGTTTATAATAAAATACAATAATCTGGATAACAAAAACAAATATATAACACTTCTTTTGCCTTTATCCCCCCCACTGAACTTTTAACTCTCAAAACACAATTGTAAGAACTCATATCACATAAACACAATTCAGAATTAAGGCAGTGAAGTGCTGAAGTCACTAGTTAACTGCTCCTACAAATGGAAATGCTCCATAGAATAGAACAAACTGAGGGGATCTCTTTGGGCCCCTCTTTAGGGGCTCTTCTAGGCCCAACAGACAGAGAGGAGACATGTAAAGTCTATTATGCTTTAAAATACTTTAAAAAAAAAAGTCCATTTAGAAAACTAGTGAGCTAGAAGAGAGAGAAAATATTGGAAAAGAAAAGCATGTACTGTAGATCATAATATAAACATAAAACCTTTCTGTTTTTATAATCCAATTTATTACAAAATACTTTCAAAGCTTTAGCGTCTGTTTTACAAAAAGGCTATTTATGTTACTTGGCCCTTCTTTTTCTGTAGAAGATGGTTTTTTAAGTTTATGTTTCTAAATATATCTTTTTAGTTTAATTAAATTAATTAATTAATTCAAGTCAGAGTCTCACTTTGTCGCCCAGGCTGCACTGCAGTGGCACGATCATGGTCACTGCAGCCTTGACCTGCTGGGCTCAGGTGATCCTTCTGCCTCGGTCTTCCAAATAGCCAGAACTACAGGCGCATGCTGTAAGCACCAATTTTTTAATTTGTTGTAGAGATGAGGGCTCACCATGCTACCCAGGCTAGTCTTGAAACCCTGGGCTCAGGCAATCCTCTCACCTCAGCCTCCTAAAGTGCTGGGATTATAGGTGTGAGCCAATGCACCTGACCTCTTTTTAGTTTCATATTTAAAATACAGTAGGAGTAACATGTAAGGGCTTTGAAATATTGTCCCATGTATCAAAAAACTACCCAAATTTTAGGACAAATGTGTTCACAAAAACAGAAAAGCATTAATAGAGGTCAATACAGAGATTGCAAAAGAATTTTATCCATAGTCCTGGATGATACTCCTGATCGTCTGTGATTGCTGTCAGGTTGAAATCTTACCTTAATTAAAGGCAAAAGAAGCCTAAAGTTTACTACAGACAGAACTATGCAATGAAAATTAAATTATTTATATAATTATTATATAGTATTTATAAAATTAATATATTATAATTATTTATACATTATTATATAAATAACAAATCACATCTATCAGGAAATCATATATAATATTACATAAATAATATATAGCATCTATCATGAAATCACATTAGTCAAGTTACAGAACTATTTTCCAAAAGTGCCTTAAATATCTCTACCTTAAGTAGCAAATGCCTAAGATATTTTTTCAAAACCTTAATCTCAAGATTCACAATAGAGTTCTCTTAACTTTTAGAGGATGATGTATTTTGCTTTTTAAAATTTATTTATTTATTTAATTATAAAGATGTGGTTGTGTACAAGTCAGGATTAGAAAATAAGTAATGTATGTGCATATGAAGTTTGGTCCTCACTTCCTCTGGTTTAGGATCAGGTACTTTTGCGTAACATACACCCTCGCTCCCCCTCCTCTAGCAGTGTTCTACAACTGCTGTTCCCTCCCTTGTGCTATTGTGATTAATGTTCAAGTCCCACTTATGAGTGACAGCATGTGGTATTTGGTTATTTGTTTCTGTGATAGATCACTAGGAATGACTGTCTCTAATTCCATCCAATTTGTTGAGAAGTTCATGATTTTGTCCCTCTTTATGGCTGCATAATACTCCATCATGTATATGTACCACATTTTCTTTATCCAGTCTACTTTCAGTGAGCAGTAGGGCTGGTTCCATGTTTTTGCTGTTGTGAATAGTGCAGCAATAAACTTGTGTGTGCAAGTGTCTTTGTATTCCTCCAGGTATATTCCCAGGAGGGGAACTGCTAGATCATATGGAAGGTCAATTTCTAGTTCCCTTATATATCCTCACAATATTTTCCGTAGAGGCCGGACTAGTTTGCACTCCCACCAACAGTGTAGAAGCTTCCCCTTTTCTCTGCACCTGCACCAGCACCTATTGTTTTTTTGATGTATTGATGATGGCCATCCTTACTGGGGTGAGGTGGTATCTCAGTGTGGTTTTGATTTGCATTTCTCTGATGATTAGTGAGGCTGAGCATTTTTTCATGTATGCACGCCATGTCTTCTTGAATGATGCACCGTGAAAGGTAAATTCTCACATTTTGCTACCTTGTTGGTCTCCCTGGAATTTGAATTTTGCTAAGGCATTAGTTTCTTGCAGATCGCTGTTTAAAGTATGAGACTGGAAATCTTTGTTAAGAAACACTCCCAAGATATTTAACCAGTCAAGGAAAAGACTCTGAAGAGTTTTCAAATATACCTTGCAACTGGAATCTCAACTTGAATAAGAAAGATATCCAATTTAGGAAGATTTTCCAAGAATAAAGAAAAAATGATCTCTTGAAAAATAAAAAGCAAGAAAATTTCATTTTATACCAAGTAAGTTCTAAAAGAACTTAAGAACAACTTCATACTTTCAGAAGAAATACCTTTCTCCAAACTGCTGAATCCTAGAACATGGATGATATAGTTGCATAGGTTTATCAGTTTCATTAGCTCATATATTTGTTGCTGAATAGGCATGCTGAGGTAAGTTCCAAACCCTAAAGTTAAATGCATACTGAAAATTTTTGCATCTTGGGAAATTTGTAAAGCAACCATTGCAGTAGGCAAATTAATCCCCCTAAATAAAATATGAAGGTATGAGGTATAGCTAGTGAAAGGGAATGAATTTTTTGACCAGCCACCTGCTTCGTTCTAGAGAAACATATTTTTTCACATACTCATGATTCCTGATAAAAGTTAAGATTTATTAACATTAGTTTCATGACCTCTATGAACTAATAAATCACTGCTCATATGTTAGGGTCCCCTCTATAATTCCACATTTCATTTTGAGAAGACTCTCTAGGGGAAATTTGGGTCTTTGTGCTTGCTCTTAAGCTTAAGGAAGGAGGGAGAAGTTATAAAAAATCTCCACTAAGGGACATTTCTATTACATGACACTGAAAATTTGAAATGGAACCTCTAATTTTATGGGATCAACCTCTAACCAACTAGAAGAAATGTCTGGCAATACAAAACTAATAGCATTTTCCTAACTCATTTGAGAATAATTATTAAGAATCTACTATGCAGTAGGCATTATGTTAGTGCTATAAAAAAATACTATCGTTTAGAACTCATTGGAACCTGGGAGAAGAAGGTACGGTATAGTCAGACATGTAGCCTAAATGCCATGGATTGTTATTGCTCTCTTATAAAGTTTCTAATATGACAAAATTAGAAGAATGATGTTGGTGCAGTCAGGTTTGTTTGTTTCTTTCATAATGTCAGTGGGGCTAGGTTTCTCTTTCTTTTTTTCTTTCTTTCATGATATTAGCGGGGTTAGATTTCTTTCTTTCTCTCTCTTCATTTTTCTTTGTTCAGTCGTGGAGTCTCATTCTTTTGCCCGGGCTGGAATACAGTGGCACAATCACAGCTGACCACAGTCTGGACCTCCTGGTCTCAGGAAATCCTCCTGCCTCAGCCTGAGTAGCTGGGACTACAGGCACATGCTACCACACCAGGTACATTTCTCAATTTTTGTAGAGATAAGGTCTTGCTATGTTGCCCAGGCTAGGCATTTTTCAGAAAACTAAATTTTTTTCATTTTAGTGGACTGTCTTTATTTGTTGCTTCTTTTATTTTGTGTTATTTATACTTTATTGGTATTGACAACGGACTGTAAGGTCCCCAAGAGAAGGGTCTATGTGCAACCGTAGTCTACAAAATGTCCTTTCTTCGCAAAATTGAAAGCTGGCATCCCTATCTTGGTCTGCCAGTTTCTGGAGGAAGATTTTCTTTGCTTACGAAAACCTACACCTTTGTGAACTATCCACTGCCCAGACGTGATAACCAATGTTTACTTAGATGTATTTATGTGTTTACCAGTGCCTGTAATGCCAATTGGTTCTTATATCCTATCACTATCTTCTTTTTTTT